AGTTTCACATTCACATTAGAAAAAATGGAATGATAGATTTTACCAAACACATGCTCGTGAAGATGAATGACGCTTCATCTGAAGTTGGGTTGACCACCTCTTGTTGTTCATGTAATAGTTCGGCATATGCATCTATGAGCTGCACAAACATAGGGTCATATAATATTATTTGTGGTGGGTGAACAATGTGTGTCTATGGCTGTGGGTGTGTGTGTGTATCTTTGTGGGTATATGCATGAAGAGTGAATCATCTTCGTAATGGCATACATTGTTGTGTATCGATTCCTTTTTGATAAGGTTGACGATGTCATCAAAATACACATGTGTAGCCTTCGAATCTCCTTTCCACACAAGCAGCCTGTGCATTTTGAACAAACCAATGTGAATATTTACATTGTATAGATCTGAACAAACCAAATAAATAAGCACAGTGATGAATATTGACAATTGTGGAATGTGAATGTTAACATTAGGTGTTTGTACAGTCACTTACTCACCGCCTCCACTCTTTTGTAAAGCTTGTACCTTTTGCTTGTTTTGTTTGGACATCTTGCTCCAGACTTTGAACTTGTTGGTCAAGGTTAATTTTTTTGGGTGCTTCATTGGTGGGTGTTTCTCCACATCTTTAACCATTTCAACTATATGGGGCTGCTTTTGGCCAGGTAAGTCTAGGTACTGGAAGTCAGGCAAGCGATGTTCTTTTCGATCTTTTTCCTTTATACGCTTCACCCTAGAAGGTGGGCTGAGATTGTGTTGCATTGGGATAGGGGGTTGCTTCTGTGCCACAGCCTGTGTGACAATATGGACTGACTGGTCATCGTAAAGGTCTTGAAGAATTGTTTTCTCGCATTCTAAGTCGATGACCAGCTACGTTAAGCGTTTTATTTCTTCATCCTTCTGCTCTATGCACTTTTTTATTTCGGTATTCATGTTGGGTGGGCTTGACTGGTTGAACAATTTATGTTCAAGATCAGCTATGACTCTTGCCTTTAACTCCCATGAGAATTGAAGGTGTTTGTACTTTGCTTCTCATTGCCTTATGACGCCGAAGCTTTCTGATTTTCTTTGATAAGCACATCAATGAAATCAGGTTGGTTTGTGTTTGGTATGACAATAGCTCTATCATCATGTGGGCTGCTAAACGGAATGTGAATGTCCTCATTACTGTCCTTTAGCTCCACCCCATCCCCAGAAAATTGAGAGTTGTTGCCATTGTGTTGTTCTTCCTTGATGTTAGATAGGTTGGGAGATGTTGTGGCTGGTTCATAAATTTCGGGCTCTACCTTCAATGTTTTACGCTTGAACTTTTGTAATTCTGTTGGGATTGCAAAGAGATCGCCGGCATTAACCTGAAAATGAAATAATTATGTTACTTAACGTATATATTTGGGTGGTGTTATAATGTGAATGTTTTGATCAGTAGTTGAAGGCCCTACCTCATTAAAACCAAAATCAGCCAAAGAGGTGGTTTTCATCTTCTTTTGTAAAGCAGTCAGATCCCACTTGACACAGCGAGGAAAAACATTGGGCTTGTGAGGTTGTAGGATGGTTGTATGCTCACACAACCAATACTTCAATAAAACAACAAAGACATATGTTATTTAGCATTTGTATAGTAATCTCAACATATGTGAACATTAATAACAGTGGCACTGTTGTGAACATTCACAGTAGTATATTATAAGTGAATGTGAACATTCACATCAGTGGTTCAGATGTAAACATTCACATCTGTGAAACATAAGTGCCTATGGACATTCACATCAGTGGTACAGATGTGAATGTTAGCATTTGCATAGTAATCTCAACATATGTGCACATTAATAATAACAGTGGCACTATTGTGAACATTCACATTAGTATATTATGAGTGAATGGGAACATTCACATCAGTGGTTCAGATGTGAACATTCACATCTGTGAAACATAAGTGTCTATGGACATTCACATCAGTGGTATAGATGTGAATGTTCACAGTTGGCTTAGATGAACAACACTGAATGACATGTGAATGTTATTACTTGACAACATGGGTACTTACCATCAATAACATGACCCAGCCGATGACTTTTGCTAGCTTTTTCTCATTTTGGGAAATGGACGATGTCAACATTGTTCTAATTTGCTTGGCCTAATCATATTCTTGCATGCTTTCCAATGAGACCATATGTGCGTAGTAGCCCCATCCTATTGTCTCTCCGTTTGTTGAGAAAAAAAGTTTTTGGCAAGCATACATGCAAACTAGTCGGGCGATTTCTTCGTTGTCATCTTTCTTTTTGCCTTTCAATGCCTCGGTCAAAAGGGTGCGTATCCATTTTGAAGTCAACCGGCTAACATTTTTGCACCTTTTGTTTATAATGCCAGTCTTTGGTTTCGCACCATATGATATGTCCATCGGCTTGCTGCCACAGTCCACACCAAAAATCAGCTTCATGTCGCTGTCGTGTATGTGCATCTTTTTCTCCCCAATGTAGAAGGTATCTTTTGAAGCTTTGTACATTTGTAGGATATGCACAACAACATCATCGTACTTCATGCATTTGTCAAGGTCGATCTCATTGTTTCTCAATGCATCTAACAAATGCCAAAAAGGTGTTTGTTGCAGGCAGCCAAGCTGTGCTTGTGTGAATTTGGTGCTTTTCATTAATTTCACCAATCCGGTCATGTTAGATCTGTAGTTCACATGCCACATGTCAACATTGCTGCTAGTATTTGCTTGTGGGCTGTCTTTCTTGACATGGTACTCATCTCTCTTTCTCTTTGAGGTTTTCTTTTGTGAAAGATCTATAAAATGGAGCATTTAAAAAAAATTAAGTAAATTAAGTTAAGACTCATGCGATTAGCATAGTGGAACAGATGTGAACATTCACAGCATTGTCACTGATGTGCATGTTCACAGTTATGTGCATGGGTGCGAATGACCAAAGTTTGTGTATGGATGTGAATATCCACATCTGTACATGGATGTGTATGTTGACCGTGTCAGCACAAACACAATGTACATATTGTGTGAGTGTGTAAAAAATAATGTATTTTTATACAACCATGAACAACATTGGAGAACATGTAGATGTTAACACAAACATATAAAATGATGTTGTGAACATTTACAGTCCTAATTTGTATGGCAATGCACATTCTTACTACAAGCATGCAATGCCAATCTTGTAAAATAGCCTCAAAATTGAAATACAATTTGAAACATAGGATAACAAAAGTGATATATTTCCTCTAAACACAGTGGTTAATATTCACAAACTGTCTAATTAATTTACACATGTAATGATTGTTCACAACATAATTATATATCACAACAACATCAAACACAAGGAACTTTAAATGTGAATGTTCACTACGACTAATAACGACAATTTGATAGAGGGAGGGAAGGATAGTGTCAATATTTGCAGAGACTGTATTTCATGCCACTTTTATGTAAAATAATGGAAAATTGAAGGTTCAACTTATTGGATCACCATTAACAATCAACAATACCAACAAGGCAAACATTCAGAAAATGGGGGAAAAAATCTAAATATCCCTATTCATTGGTCAACCATTTTCTATCCATGTGAATGTTCATAGCATAAAACAACACCACCAATGATATTTGATTATCCAAAAAATTTCAGTCAATGTGAATGTTTTCATCTTTCAACAACAACAACAACAACAACAACAGAATTGGCCAAACATTTTCAATCCATGTGAATGTTCACAGCATAAAACAACAACACCATTAATTCCTGATTACCCAAACATTTTCAATCAATGTGAATGTTCACATCTTTCAACAACAACAACAAAAACAGAATTGGCCAAAACATTTTCAATCCATGTAAATGTTCACAACATTGAACAACAACCAAATAACATCTGAAATAATTTGATTATCCAAATATTTTCAATCAATGTGAATGTTCACAGTTTTCAACAACAACAGAAACAATTTGGTTTGGCCAACATCTTTCCAAACCATTTGAATATTCACAGTTGTGAACACAATATAACGGCAACTGTAATATTTTTGACTTAAAAAATCAATATAATTAGGGATTACGATTGAGGGTTCAAATTAAAGGTTAGAGTATGAACAATATGGACTCCTATATATTGTATGCATAGAAACAGCGGATATTTGTAAAAGTTCACAATGTTATTTGTCGATAAAGATATTTAGGGTTTAAATACACGAATGAGTAGAATGCTTACGTTTTTTGCCCATTCCGAAAGTGATTTTTACGAAGCTAGACCTTACGGATGTTCAGCAATGGTGAATCCACGATTTCAGTGACCGACGACATAGGGACGACGAAGAAGATGATGAGACAATGTGACGGTGAAACGAAGACAGTCTTCTAGAATGTAGAGATAGAGATACTATGCGTGATTTCCTGCGCAAGAATACAGAGGGGAAGAGAGATGATTATTAGATTCAAAGAGAGAGAGAGAGGGGCGTGTTTGTTTGAGATTTTTTTGGTCTTTTCGTATAAAATGGACCTAATGGAATATTATAAAACACTATGGATCTTATGAAATAACACTCTTAAATAATAGATTTACTGAAAAAGTACCCATTAGAATAATTGACACAAATTTAAAATTAATGACAAAAAATCAAAATAATCAAAATTACAAGAACAAAAATGACACAAGGGACAAATGCTTATTTTGGGAACTTGACTAAAAACTATCTTTTTTACTTTAGTTTTTTTTTTTTTTTTTTTTAGTTACATCACATTTCAATTTTGTTTACACATTTTTCCAAAAGGGTCAAAAAAGTTCATATTTTAACGTACTTTCTAAAATAAGCCAAAATACAAGGACCACTCTATAATTTGACCTAAATGTTTTCCATATTTTTTTGCCATTTTAGAAATAAAAAATTTAATATAATTATGTCAACAATCACCTAAGTTAACTCATCGAAAATTCGAGGGAGATCAAGGTAATTTGCCCTAAAAATTAATGTAAGGCGAGAATTTTTATTTTATACGCTAATAGAAACTCCCAAGAGGCCAACTCTTGTTCTTGGCATTTGTCAAGCCGAGCAGGCTTGCAAGCCTAGCAAGCAAATCTTCTATCTTCGCCCACCTCGCTCGATCTTTCACGTTCCATCTCTCACCCCCTTGTCTCTCTCACATCACATCTCGCATCAATCTCCCTCACCTCATGCAAACCCAAGGTAATTGATCAATGAATTCAGCGAAAATTTTACTTGCCCACATAGGAATTTGTGTAATTTGTTCTTTTAATTGTTCTATTTTTGAGAAATTGATTTGTTTTTGAATTTTTCAGTGGCTATAATCAAATGAATTCTACAGTGTTTGATTGTTCTGCAAAATTTGATTTTGTTTTGCGCGATAGGTGGTTTTGAAAAGGGTTTGCAGAGAGGGATGAATTGACTGTGATGCAGTTACTTCATCGTCTATCCGGTTCGCAGTATAAGATCCAGTTACAATCCGGCTGTAATTTTGATTTTGCGTGAGGAATTTTTGATGGTATTGAAGGGTCTTCTGTAAATTAGAAGAGGACCCTTCTGATTTGAATTTTCAAGTTTTCGATATCGGTTCCTTTTCTCGCAAAATTGTTCAGTGAATTGATATCTGGGTTGTATTCAGTTCCTGTTGTTGTTGTTACTTTTTCCACATCATGCCAGCCTTGCAGAAGCTTTATAATGCTTGTAAAGGATCACTTTCTCCGGATGGTCCCATATCTGAAGAAGCGCTCGAAAAAGTTCGCGTGCTGCTAGGTAGGGAGGGATAATCTTTATTTGCCTCTTATATAGGTTCAATAACTTTAGCAATCGGTATTTGAATGAGTATTAATTTCGATTTGATTATTTATGAATTTATTGGTTTGGTTGTTATGTTGTGTTGCCTTAAATTGGTTGAATTTGAACCACGAATTGAATAGGTTTTGCATATGAGCATGGGTTTAGCATAAGAATGATATTCATTTTGACACAATTTGCTCAGTTTATTGTTTATTGGATATGCAGGAGATGATGGATGAGGAATATCTACAATATCACATGTTAATGCCTATTTTATGATTGTATTTGTTGAATAGAATTACCTCTGATCTAATATGTTTAACTCAAGAAGATAATGGTTTTGTTTTCTTTAGATTAACTTTTCCACATGCCCTCGAGTTTGTTAAACGTAGTGTTGTCAGAATTTACAAGTATTTTAGCAATATGTGTCTTCATTGCATGATCCAAAATGATCCAAAACTTTGCAAACTATCATACTTGAGTGCTAAATGAGTTGAACGCCCAAATTTTCTTCTCCTTTTCTGCCTTGTGGTTCCTTTGTAGAAGTAGCAAAAAAAATATATTGAATCAAAACCTAGTAAGATGTATTTTTTTGGTGACAACCATCACATACCAAAATATCACCAGGAATAGTAGGGAAGTGGATTTGTGTGATCGAATGGTATTAGAATATCAAACAAGCTTCCAGCAGTCAATAAAAACTTGTGTTTATTTATTATTATATATATATGTTGTAAGCTAATGTGTTGTGTATTGTATTCTATCAATTAGACAGGAAGCTGGTTTTTTGTTAAAATTTACGGCTACAATAGAACTCCCATTTAAGCATTGACAAACCTTCATATGCTCAGTCTTAGTTGCCATGACTTTCTTACCTTGTCTTTTCAGTGGTGCTGGTTATCAATTTGATGCTATTGTTGTAGGCCATTTGTTCCAGTTTTCGATTCAAATTCTAGTGCCATTTTCCTTTTTGTTTGTCTGCGGTTGTGTACTTGCTCACATGTATGGGCTTGTATGTGTCGTAGAAAAATTAAAACGTTCTATAATATTATATTATTTCTTTTACTTGGTATCTCTATATCTCCTACTCTTGTTCGATCAACTAACAGATTGTTCTGATCCACAAGCAACATTTTGTTGTGTTTCATTATTTCCAATTGAACCCACAACATTCTTTGGCGTTACATTTGCTATATTTTGGTTTCCCTGAGTATTTTTTCTGTTATTAGTTTGTTAGCTAGTTAGGTATTTTTTTTAAAAATTTTTTGGTGCAAATCATTTCAAGTCATAGATAGCTCACTTGTTCCCAGTGTCTAGTGTGGTCTGAAATGTTATTTTGCTCTCTTTAGGTGTTTAAAATGCTTGTTTGGCAGTTTCCGTCTCCATGGTGAAGAATTCCTATGAAATTCCCCTGGGAAATTTGAGGCAATAATGCAAATTTCACTGCAAATTGAGCACCTTACTCGTTTAGTGAGTGAGTGCCTTTTGGTGGATGCAGGTCCACTCAAAATCAAATACAATATGAGTAGTAGACATAAGAAGTTGGTGTATGTGAGTGATGAAGAATATGACCATAAAAAAGTTTCCCAAAATAGAGGGTGTGAGAGTGCTAGGGTAGGTGATACATTCCCTGAGTTGATGGGAATTGGGTCTAGGGTATCAGCTGATGTAATTGTGTTTAGGGGTCATAAACAATTTGATAAATCCTTTGATTGATTTAGATGCCCCATACCAATTCTTTGACTGGAAACACATGCAAGATGATTAGAAAGTCGAAGTTTGTCAGACTGAAATTTGAGGGGCATGCTCTTTTGGGGTGGAAATGATAATAGTCCATTAAGACAAAGAAAAGTTAGGTTAAGGGATCTAGGTGGAAACCTAGAAAATTTTTCTCGGAGTGGCCATAGCATATTCACTCATGAATATATCTATACATATACATAGAGTGTTTGATTGTTGATATGCCCTGTAATGCTTTGAAAAGGAATTTTAAGCAAAGCTAAGTATTTTGGTGAAACTAAGTTATAAGAAGAAATCATTTTATTAAAAACAATTAGAATATATAGAATCAATTTTGTATCATTGAATTGCAATATAATATTAGTATTATAGCTAACCACAATTTTAATATTAACAGCCTTTCCATAACCAAAAAGTTTTTTTTTTTAAAAAAAAAAAATTATTTGCATATAGTTATGTACATGTATAAATGCTAAAACACTTGGTTACTAATAGGAAAAAGATTAAAAATGTAGTCAATAACAATTGTTATTAGTTATAAGGCTGTTACATAAATAAATAAACATAAAAATCAAAGTTTAGAGAGTAGGGATTGTTTTACTTAACTAGGGGGAAATCAAGCCCAAGGTTTAAATTTTGATAGATAAACTAACAGTTTTGCTAGAAATTATGGATTTAAGGAAAGATTTAGGCTTCATTTAGTATTGGCTTGAAGGCTTGTTGTTTGTGGCCTATTTTTGTCTTTAGTGGAATTTTTTTTGTTGAACATTCAATTTCCTTTTTACTTTTTAGACTAAAAGTCCTGAAAAGTGTAAAAAGTAAAATTGAATGTTTATTGAAAAATGTCACTAAAGACAGAGAGTACATTTAAGCCGTTACCAAATAAAGCCTTAATGCTAAAATTTTGAATTTTTGCTTTCTATTAGAAAGCTTTTAATCAGAAATCTAACTTTGAGGGGTTGGGTGGGGAAGGGTTTTTTGTTGAGGAAGTAAACATTATGAACATTACATAAATTATCAAAGGGGTGTACCAGGGTGGGTATAGCTGTTGGAGTTCCTCTCTAAATCCACCTTTGATAGGATCCATGGAATGGGGACTTAAAACAAAAAAGTTTTTTTCATTATATTATGATAAGATGGACCCAATGCACAAGACTCTTTCTTACAGCAGGGTTTGAGAGAGGTAATAGATAGGCAGTCTTTCACATACTTTTTGTGGAGAAGCAGACTTCCGTGAATTGAACCTGTGGCATAGCATTGAGTGGGATAGCACTCACCACAAAAAAGTGGGGGGGGGAGACTATTCATGTACTATCTCTTCCAGAATTTGCTAAAAGTGTAACACTAGTTACGATCTTTCTTTCTTTCTTCTTCTTCTTCCATTTTTTTTTTTTTTTTTGATGCGTTTTCAAAAGGTTTATTGCTTGCGGGCATAACAACAATCTCTTGGATGAATTTGTGGAAGGGTTGTGCATACTCCAAGCATATATATATATATATATTTATTTATAGAATTGCACTTTACTAATACTCCCTCTGTCCTTAAATAATAGTCCCTTTTAGGGAATTTAACTTTTTTTGATAATACAATTATTGCACTTTAAAAATATTAATTTTTCAAAATTACCCTTTGATAGTACATTTTTTTTTTTTTTTTTGAGAATATCAATTATCATGATTGTACTTTGTGTTGTTAATGAATTTAAAAGAAGGGCAAACTAAGAAATTGATATTATTTTAGTCCTTGATTTTTGAAGAGGGACTAATATTTTGGGACAATAAAAAATGAAATAAAGGACTAACATTTTGGGACGGAGAGAGTAGTTATATTCTCCATGAGTTGGTACACGTGGATAATACTTATTTCTATGCATTCAAAATGGAGACTAAATGCAAGAAATTGATAATCTGAAGAATGCTTATTTCCATCCAGTTTAGATGGGAGAACACAAGTGGAATGTAGAGTGTCCAATGATGTTTAAGATATAACACCGCTTAAGTCCACCAAAGCTAACTAGAGTAAGTCAATAAAGGTAAGTGTATACTTGATGAAAATCATCTAAATTCATTTGTTTTCAAATATGACATAAATTGTTAGAATGTCATGGAAGAAATTTGTGCCTTAATCAAATAGGGAAAATGATTGAAATCTTGAGTCTAATCTTCTGTAATCCTGACTAAAGGAGGAGATTGAACACCATGTAGAAGATGTAGATGGTGATACGTATGGTCAACATCTTTGCAATCATTCTCTAATGATGGCTCCTACTGCTCTAGTAGATAATTGATGGTCGACACAAGGTCGCAGTTGCATGGGGAGGCTATGTGTAGTTATCCTTGGTAGTGTTCTATTGAAGACTCTCTCATGAGATGATTGACAATATTAGTTTGAAATCTAATAAATTGGTCTGAGCTATAGCATGGGTTAAGTATGGAGGAGAAGTTCTTGTTACTAGTCTCTCTCCAGTGGACCTAGTGCTAAATAATTCTTCTAGAGGGGTGTCACCTCTTGGTGTGTGCTTGGCTGTATGATCGAAAGACTAAATGCGATAGTGAAGAATACATACACCTTTAAAAAAAACAACTTCCCTTTGTTTGTTTTGTTTTCATTTTTTTAGTAGGTAAAAGAATCTAGTAAAGTATCCAAAATGTACACTCAATAGAAGAATAGAAAAGCTATACAAAAAATGTACTTTTAGAATCCCTTGGCATTGCACAGGATGTGAATCCTGAAAGTGCTTCTAAGCTGCTGAAAGGTTCTCAATCTGATCTCCACGTATTGAAAGCAGTACATAGCTGATAGAAATTTCTAAATAATTTTAAGTTGAAAAAGAGTTGGGATTCTATTTTAAGAAACTTAGATTGTTGTACGACAGCTTTAAGAAATTTAGAATAAGCTGCCTAAAATTGGATTTGTGGAGGGCTTAGTTTCTAGGGTATTAAAAAGGTGGAAGTAAATCCATACAGTTTGAAGAATGCTTAAGTTGGTGTTATGTTCATGTTAATACAACTTATAAAAAAGTTTATTTTAATACATCTGATATGCATACATCTGGTACATACCATAAAACAGAAAAGCTAAATGTTTATGTTCCTTAGGAGCAGGGTTTTCATCCTTTTTTACAAATTTTGTCTCTTTCCCCCTTTCTTTACTTCTTCCCCTTTGTTTCTCCTCTTCTGCTTTTCTTCTTTTTCTGTGTTCTATTTGGTCTAGAAATCATTCTGAGTCTTGTGCTTTCATTTCTTTTAATAAATTAAGTTGTTTTTATATTAAAAAAAAAGACTCCACTATTGGTAGGAGGCAATGAACTAAGTGAAGTCACCACATTGTTTCATTCTGCTGAATTTCTTACAACAAGAACCCCATTTAAATGAAGATTGGAGGAATGGAAGCAATAGACAACCAAGGTCGTGACAACGTGCTTGGTTTCAAAAATTTAAACTTAGGCAAGCACGGATTATATTCTCCTAGTGATTTTGTGAATGTAGGTTGGAAGTTGGACTATGTATGTGAGATGATCTATTTGACGACTTGTGACCGTGTTTCATCATCATATACTTTGGGTCTGATATGTTTAAATTGTCTGGGTATGTTAGTCAGATATTTGAATTTTTTCTCTAGTGCTTTATTCTTGAATTTTTAATTACTTGCCGTGGATCAAGGTAACTATATTTAATACACGCTCTACTGTTGAGTGTTGTAAATGTCATGATTTATGTTGTTTATGTTTGCTGGCTTAAAAATTTGTATTGCAGTCCATCGAGTGTTATAATGGTGGCGCCACATGTGTGGAGTTAATTGGCCCCACTAGAATTTGGGAAAACCATGGAACGTATATAATATATTTAGGTAAAATTGATCCCTCTAGTAGCTTCTCCTTTGTGTGCTATATGGCTGCTTGTTGCTATTTTTACCTTGAAGCTTCCAAATTTTCACTCCAATGGTAAGGCATATGGCTTGCTATCTATTACTTATAGGCTATGAAGCACCGACACTTCAAAACAAGTGTCATATTCGTGTCGGACACACGGACAATTCGGGCGTATGGGACACATCACATGGCGTGTTTTTTTATTTAATTAATTTATTTTTAAGGGACACACCGGGGACACATTAGAGATATGCCAAGTTGTTTTTTCTCTCATTTTATTTAATGTTTTTCATGAATGTTGAATGTTTATTATTTTTTTTCTTAGATTTAAATACTTAATAGATTATTCATAAAAAAAGATATAAACTATATGTAAGTGGTAATGAAAAGTGCTTTTGAAAAAAAAAGAATTAGAGTTAATTTTTGTTAATATTGATTGTTTGTGGATGTAATATTAATCTAGATAGCAAATAAAAATATATGAAAATGTATTTTATTGTCGTGTCCCCGCCGTGTCCAGGTTTGTGCCCCCATTTTTTTGAAATCGCCGTGTCCCGTGTCCGCATCTATATCCATGTCCGTGCTTCTTAGCCTATAGGTAACCATTGTGTCAAATATAGCACAAGGTTTACCTGTAGCTAAAATCTTTGTGTTTATAGCTTTTCTCTAGGAATGCACATAGGGCCCGTTTGTTTTCAGAGGTAAAATGGAGGGGATTCATAGTGAGATGATTAATAGTGAAGGGATTGATAGCGAGGGGATTAAGTAAAATTGTGTTTGTTTTGATGATAGTTGTTAGTGTAGAAATTGTTAAATTATTTTTATATAAAATAATAAAACAAATAAAAAAAATATAAAAAATTAAACATTAATGTTTAAAAAAAAATTCCCTATATGTAAAAAAAAAAAAAAAAAAATTTCTAATCCCCTCGCTATTTTTCTAATACCACCTCCACCTCCTCCATCCCGATCCCCCTTCCAACCTCCATCTTAATCCCCTCCTCCATCCTAATCCCCTCCCCAACTCTACAAACAAACACGACACTAAATAACCCCACCTCCATCCTAATCCCCTCCCATTCATTACACCCCAAAACAAACGGGGCAATATAGCATTTAAATTTGACATTGGGTGAGGAAATTGAAAATTTTACATTTGTACCATTAGAGCAACATTGCTAAAATAAAGCATTTTAACACTATTCTTTGCTAAATTATAGCAATAACTAGCTCTTTACCTATCCAACCATTGAAGATGCTCTAACTTTCAAAATTGATACCACTGCAATTAGCTTAGAGTATTTGAACGGCCTAAAAATATTTCAAGCCATCTCTATATTTGTCCAAGCCCCTATACAATCAACAATTAACTTCATTGAATATCTGAGACAATATGTATGGTTTTTCTGTGCCAGTTTGTATATACGTTAATTTTTCTATAGTTCCGTTCCAATTTTATATTATGTCTTGAAGAATCTATACAATTTATATATATACGTATTGCGTTATTGATTAATTTAGGGTTGTTTTTGGGTCTGTCTCTTCTTTAATTATTTTTCTAATATGTTATAGTACACCTCTTAACACTTATTTGTGTTGCAGGCAAAATCAAGCCCTCCGATGTTGGTCTTGAGCAAGAGGCACAGTTGGTACGTGCGTGGACAAATTCTTCACATGGACGTAATGGGAGTCTTCAGTCACTGCCAACAATCAAATACCTGCATTTACACGAGTGTGAAAGTTTCTCTGTAAGTGTAGTACTTAGGCATACATATCCGTTACAGTTCATTCTAATTACAACCATCAATGTGATTGATATGGAAATTTGCAAACTAAATCATGGAATCCATTGGTTTCTGAATTTTCTTGCAGATGGGAATATTCTGCATGCCACCTTCCTCTATTATACCTCTTCATAATCATCCTGGAATGACCGTGTTGAGCAAGCTTCTATATGGTACATTAAATGTAAAATCATTTGATTGGATTGATGTGCCTGGGCCTTCTGATCAATTGCAAGGTTTGCTCTTTTGGATATATATATATATATATATATTTCCGTATATTTAACTGGTTCTATGCTGCCTAAAAATGTTTGATTGATTTAAGGTTCACTAAAGTCCTTAGATAGAAAAACTTTAAATGCAATTCTTTTGATGGTCTAATACTTTAAATGCTAGTCTTTTCATGGTCTAAAACTTTAAATATAAGTCTTTTGATGGACTGACCCTCCAAAAAAAAAAAAAGAAGAAAAAACACATAGTAAGGCCCCGTTTGGTAGCACTTGTAAATAAACTTTTTTAGTTTATTTGAGAGCATTTTGAATATTTGCACCAAAAAAAAAAGTCTCAACTTGTTTAACCAAACCGGTTCAACTTTTTTCACAGATTATGAAAAGCTGCATTTACATCTTATTTTAATTCTTTTATGCCAATAATCTAAAAGGCTATAATGAGAATGCTATATGAAGTTATGAATGTTTTCGGTAGCAGGTGCTAGACCTGCCAAGCTTGTTAGGAATGGGGAGATGAGGGCCCCTTCTGAGCCAACAATTCTGTATCCATCGTGTGGAGGCAACATTCACTCTTTCAAAGCCGCGACTCCGTGCGCTATCTTTGACATCCTGTCTCCACCTTACTCTTCTGAGGATGGAAGACACTGTACTTATTTCCGGAAGTCTCCAAGAGCAGATTTGCCAGGTAAGAGTTACTAGGGCACATTATTGGTTTGATAATTTTTAGTAAATGAGAATTCTCAGTTTTATGTTCTTGCTTTTATTTGTTCGTGTGTCGTTTTGTTATTTTCATTGAAGGTACTCTTGAATTGGATGGAGTGACCATGTCAGAAGTGACTTGGTTGGAAGAGTTCCAACCTCCAGACGACTTTGTGATTCGGAGAGGGCAATACAAGGGTCGTGTTATCAAAACTTGAGGTCTTTTTTTTTTTTTTTCTTTTTCTTCTTCTTTTTCTTTTTGTATCCATCTTTTTAAAAATGAATTGAGCACTTCATTTGGGTAGTTTGAGTTAAATTCTGGAATTGAGTTGTCAATAGCCATGACAATAATAAGTTCTGTTGGCTAATATGAGTTAGGCATTTGACTTTGTATATAGTAAATACAGTTATCTAATGTAGTGACCTCAGTTTTTACACTTTGAACACCAACAAAATTTGGAAGAATTATGCCCGCTCTTGTTCTGTTCATGAGTATTTTTCTTTTTGATTGTACGACATTTTTTGTTTAAAAAAAAAAAAAAAATTTTTTTTTTTTAAAAAAAAAAAAAAAAAAAAAGCCTTCATTTTGTTCAGCAAATTTGTTGTGTTCTGAATTTTTTTGGTTGCACCTCTGTTTATCTTGATTTCAGCTCAAGCTCTGTTTCTATGGGTTTGCTTAAGCTTTTGTTGGGCTCTCTCGCTCTCTCTCATTTTTTTTTAAATTTATAAAATAAAACAGGTGATGTATTGTCTGAGTCATATTATTGTGTTGTCTTTTATATATGGGAAAAGTTAGGGCCCCAACGCTTTTAAGTCCCAAGTGTTTCTTGTATAATGGTGGAGAGCCTAACTCCATGTTTGGATAAGTAGGTCTCCCTTTCTGCTCTATTGCTTATACATTCTTTGAGTGTAATTTTTATTATTATTATTATTATTATTATTATTATTTTCCTTTCATATTTTCCAGTCGCAATATCTCAAGGTGAAAAAGTTGCACATTATCTGCAGGCATGAATTCATGGTCACGGTTGTATTTTGAATTTCAAATTGCCGCCTTCTTTTTTTTAATAGATTTTGATTCCCATTGCAATGCTCTAACAGGTGCACTGTACTTGTACTTGTAGTAGTGTCTCCTTAGGCGTGTGTTTAAATGATTGTATCTTATTTATTTTTGGTGGTTCTAACAATGAAAACAAAGATTTTGGGTTGAAAGTGTTTATTTTAGTAGAATGAAGTTGAATGAATTGATCATTTTTATCAGGGTATCAATTCTCACGGTTCGTTCACCGAAAAGAGATTAATAAAAAAATACATTACAAATAGAATCATTATTATTTCATAAAAAAGATTAAGAAATAATCATTCTATTGTATTCCACTCAGTTTGTCAAACCAAACTGGCTACCAAGGACAGTCAAAATATTTACCTTCACTTCCTTTCTCCTACCTATAGTTTGGAAAATAATCTTTATTGGACAATTTTGTATGTTCTATATATACAACAATAAAAATCTTTTTTTCTTTTTCAACAAACTATAGTATATGTAGCTGATGCTCAAAATCCAAAATGAGATCTCAATAATCTAATCATATATTGATGAAAGAGCAAAATACAAGATGATGAAAATCGCATAATACAGACACATATTGCATCAAGTGTGATGTTGGCTTCAATGATATTATTTTCTGTTCTTTTCTTTTTCATCAGAAGTATAGGCCGTATAGTTCATGAAATTTAAACCCCAGATAGAAAATATTCTAAAGTTCGTGTAGAATCAAGTGAGCACCATATTGAGGCTGAAGAGTTCCCATAGTGAACGGAGAATGAGTATAGGACGGTGAAAGCTCAAAAGAGAATTGTTGTAGAATTGTAGCTATGGCCATCTTGGCTTCTAACATTGAGAAGTTTTGTCCAATACATACCCGAGGTCCCGAACTAAATGGGAAAAATGAAGCTTGGTTGTTCTTTGTTGCCTTCGACACTCCTTCTGCAAACCTCTCTGGCTTGAACTCTTTTACATCACCCAAATTTTACGGTCATAATGTAGCAACATTACCTGTAAAGAAACTATCACTCCTGCCGGGAGGGTGATTCCACCCAATTTCATATCTTCATGGACCACTCGTTCCATCCGAACAAATGGTGGGTATAACCGTAAAACTTCATACAAAATCATAGTCACCTAAGGAAGAGAAGTTTTAAAGATTACAATTAATTAAATTTACATGAAGTGCAACATTGTGCATGCAAAATATTTTTTTTTCCCTAAAATATTGTACAAATCTTGACAGAAATTTTGGGTTTTTTAGCAAATGAAATTGTAGTTTCTCATGCAAAAATGATGCTCCGAGTTTTTTTTCTTGTTTGCTTGTTTTTCTCAAGCATGGTATAATTTGTGTAACAAAATATGTAAACACATGTCAATGCCATATAGTACTAAATATGGTGTTTTCTGCACTATGCTGTAAAAAATTATTCTTATAATTATGTCACTGCCACATATCATTTTAGATTTTGTATAGAAATTTTGGTAGTTTAACATTTTCCATAAAATAAATATGAAAGAAAATTAACATTCCTAGATCTTATTGGCATAACAAAATGGTGCATGCATTTTTAAGGGTCTTTTACTGGTCATGAATTTGAATTTGAAAGGGAAAAAACAAAAAATGAGGAAAACAAAAGCACACTGAATACTTGTTTGGTAAGTAGGAATATAATCTTTTATGCAATAATGTACACAAGAATTAATGATTTCGCAAAGAATTAATGATTTCCCAAAGTATGCAAAAGAATTGATGTTTTCCCAAAGTATGCACTTACAATTTTGAGGCGATTTAAGGCATCAAAGTTGGGTTTGTCGTTCTCAAATACTTGTAATACCTCTTCCCTTGCACGTTGTTGCCAATTTTGATGCCTACTTAATAAAATCATAGTCCACACAAGCAAAATCGACGTGGTCTCCTGCCCAGCAATGTAGAATAGCTTGCATTCTTCAACAACTTCTTCAATAGCCATTCCACCTTTCCTATTATTCCCATGTTGTTCAATTTCTCTGAGATTTGATTCTAGTAATACACCTAGTAAGTCGTCTTTACTAGTTTCTCCTTCTTTCATTGCCTTCATTCTTTTATTGATCATAACACTCAGTGTAGCATGTATTTCTTTATCAATTTCTTTCATCCTCCTGTTCCTCTTAGTTGGCAAAAACCTACACATGCAGTAGCAAAGCATATATAGCTAGCTAGCAACTATGAAATATCTTTTTAACTATTGGCGTTGGCCCAGTGACTAGAGCTCGTCAACTCTACTAGGAGGTCATAGGTTCGATTCCCCCTCCCCATTCATTATACCCAATAAATAAAAACAAAAATAAACATCTTTTTGGACAAATTACATTAGTGGTCCTTAAACTTTATCTCTTGTGTCAATTTGGTCCTTGTAGCACCCTATTTTTTTTCTTTTCATTTTTTTTCCCTCAAATATCATATATTTAGATTTCTATTTATCTTTCCTAGTACTGAAATATATATCTTTCACATTTTCTAACAAAAAAATGACCTAAACTAATACGGCAATGTAAGAGGTACTGAAAATTTTACATACTATTTTACTTCCTCTCAAACTAATATATGCAAGTCCAACCAAATAAAAAAAATATTCAAATTAAGTATTTGAGACAATTTGATTTTACCTCGCGCCTGGGATGTAAAGTGTACTGACAGTCTGGAGTACAAGTACAATTAGTTCCTTCTGGAGTTTGAATATCTTTCTTCCATCTTCATAGCTGCTACCAAAAGCTGCCCGAGATATCACATCACTAGTCAAAGTTTGAAGATAAGGCCACACATCCACCTCACATGACCCTTCTGTTGAGGCAATATTGTTCTCCCATTTGCTTATCATCTCGCTACAGCACAAATAAAATGCAGGTACCATATGCTATAAACAAAATCAAAAGACCAAAAACCAAGACTCTGTCAATAACCATATTGCAAGCTGTACACGAAGCAGAAGAAAAAGAAGAAGAAGACAACACTTGGAAACCAATTGATATGTATATATATATATATGTAGAATTTTGTTCTATCATGAAGTTGCATTTAGACACAGCAAACGACCACTAAAACATTTAACTAAATAGAGCAACTAAGCTTAAATAACTAATATGGTTAAATACACTATTGGTCCTCAAAGAATACATTCTATGTCATTCTAATCCATGATATTTCAACGTGTCAATTTGGTCCCCAACTTGCCCAATTTGTGTGTAAATGGTCCAAATTTTATAAGGGAAGCATGGGGTATTTTTTTTTTTTCAAATTTGGATGGAAATATTGAACCATATTAGTTGGAGACCAAATTGACTCATTTGAAAAATCGGAGAGCACCAAAATGAAATATAGTGCAAACTTTGGGGACCGACACTGTATTGAACCCTAATGATATATAAATAATAATTAAAAAAAACGGTGGAAAAAACCTTCAACTTCTCCATATGGAAAGCTGGGTTGATGATTTTTCTGTGTTTAGTCCATTGCTCACCATCAAGGGTAGTTAGTCCATTGGCTACCAACGTGATAAATGGATTTGACCTGGCCTTTTGATAGTTGAAATTCTTAGACAATACCTCCTTTACAAGTTCAGGGTCCACGATGTTAATATTTGGTATTGGTCCAAACCACGTAAAAGACTTTTTTCCTGCAACTTATAACCAAACACATCAAGCAAAAGTTCAAGAGCGATTGAATTAATATTCCTTGAACAAACTGAAACAAGCAATATATACGTGAATAGTGAGGTTCGCAAAGCTTGGTTTGGTTTGCCAACCCCATTTGATGGGACTTAAGGCTTTGCTTGGTTTGAATTGGTTTTTAGTGAAGTTCATGAAGCAAACTAAATATGTACACATGACCATGACATGATGAGTTAATTAATAATATCACACAACCCATATTTTCCAAATTAAGCAAGTAAAATTCTTGCTTACAGTAAGCAAGAAGAGTTAGTTATGGTAGTTACAACTGTGTCCATCATTGAGTTAGTTAGTAGTGCTACGCTGTTGTGTCTGTCATCTACTGAAGACGTCATTCTTCTTTTTCAGGTAACAATTTTCCATATTTTGTCAATCTCATTAGAGTTTATTCTTAACTCTGTTCTGCGACTGCAACTTCTGAAGTTGAGATTTATCTTCTTCAGTCTTCATTATGATTATCTCATATATGTCTTGTTTCGACTATCTGAATTGTTTTGTTTTACATATTCAATCACTGGATTCAAATTTTCTTACCTTCATTAGATTTTCTTGTATCCAATTTTCACTCCCTTGTCTGCTGGGAAATGGCAACAGCCAATTAAAGTCCATAAAAGGCGTGGATCTGACGGTTCTAAGGCCTAAGCCTTAATTTGGCATATGCTAGATGATGTAAGGCCTGCTTGGGAGATTAACTAGACTTGGAATTTATTTAAAAGTGTCTTTTGAGTTTC